CGGGAGAATGGTACATTAGATGCTTTTTGAGGAATATATAATTAGGTTGTCATCAATGTCTTTTTAATCAAAGGTATCAAAGTAAACTTTCAGAAGTTTAAAAAAATGTAAGTGGACAGCCATAGTGGGACAGTCCTGTAATCCCAGCACTCTGAGAGCGTGAAGCAGGACCACGGCAGAGAGGAGGCCAGCCTGGGCAACTTGGTGGTGCAGTGAGACCCTGTCTCAAGCAATAAAAAGGGATGGGGATGTAGCTTAGTTCAATACCCAGCACCACACATACTCATAACAGTTAGTGCATTAATCATATTTTCTGTGCTGTATTACAAAGCAATAGCTGTAGCTTTTGTACAGTGCCAGAGAAAGGAAATTTATCTAATAGAGTTGCTAAAGATTATAGCAAAATTCAAAATGGCACCATAGAAAAACTGTATCAAGATCAAATGTCCAATCAGAGATTCATTTACCATTTCTGTGTGTAGGTCATTTGTCCAATATTATTCAGCGAACATTTCTTAAGCACCCACTATTAATATTTATTTGGCATCACACTGAAAATAAATATCATATTATACTTTTAAAATGAAGAATCAATAATTCATTAATTCCATTTAGAAAAAAATTGCAGCTTGCTGCCAGCATTTAATTTTCAACATTATCAGGAATTACTGTATTTTGTAAATGGACATAAAACTACTAAAACCAGAGTGCCATAAATAGAATGATGTCTTTTGTTTTCAAGGATAATCGATACACTATAGTGATGTGAAAATAATAACAAAAGTGAAATATCTTGTGGGCAACTTTGGGAGTAAGGTTAGGTCTATAGTCTACAAGTTGTCTTGGGGTAAATGCTGCAGCCACAAGCTTTGCTGGTGAATATTCTCAAGGCCAATGGGAGATCAGTTAATAAAATGTAGTTACAATTGTATTGAACAAATTAACAAAGAGATAAAATGAGTGTTAGAATGGTCCTTGCTCTCTAAGAGCTCACTAGGGTGTAAAAAAGTGCAAACCATGATAAGGGACACACCAGGTGTTTGAATATAGTCTAGGGAGCTCAGAGAAAGAATCAGTCAGTATGACTAAGCAGATTAAAGATGGCTTCTTAATGGAATTGCAATCTTCAGACCTTCAAGATGAGTAGGAGTCCTACAGGTGTAAAGGGAGAACATTAAATTCCAGTATAGAAATCCACAAAGCAAAGAACAGAAACATGGCGTCTCAGGAGTGAGCACAGGAGCAGGTTGTGGGCTCCTACAGTAGGCAAAGTGGAAAGCGTGCTGTAGTGCACGGTAGCAGGATGAGTGGGAGAAAGCATGGAAGGTGGCTGGGAAAACACTGAGGGACCAGCGGTTGGTGCACAGGCACCTCAGGGTCATGTCTTTTAGCAGGATAATTCTGAAAGTAATGGGGAAAAGGGCTGAGAAAGGGAAGGAAAGGAAAAAGGTGTGTGTGGGGGTCATTATGTTTCTTTGTGTGAAGTGATGTTAGAGTAACTTCAGTAACTGAATATAGGTGATTAAAGTTTTTATAAGAATCAGTTTCCTGGAGTGCTTAATGGAATTATTCCTGAAGTATCTGATATACGTTTGTTTTTGGTACTGGGACCTTGCGCTTGCGAGGCAGGCGGCACAACTGAGCTAAATCCCCAGCCCCAGTATAGGATATATGATCTTAAAAGAAAAGAAAATAACTTCACGATTTTCTGTTCATTATTAATGTAACACATGTTAATTTCAAAGCAAGCACATGACACAACTGAATTTAATAATATGGTAAAAATGAGTGATAATCACCTCAACAGAGAGAAACGCTGTGTAAGATTCTTCCAATTGGCTTTAGTTCTACTTTCTTGAACTACACATTGAATAAGATTGATGATGGGTAGAGTAATGCAGACAACTGGGACTAAGCTCATTTTAAGCACAGAAGTGGATATAACATCTTTGCCCCATTTTGCTGAGTGAAATTTGCCAAAGACATTTATTGCTACATTATAATAATTATAGTTTAAAATAATTAGTTCAGAAATGTGCTAAGCACTATGAAAACCACAGTTGGAAATGGTTTTATATTTTACAACACATTTAGCAATTCTTTTCTGTCTTTGAAGCAAAAGTGAAAAATGAGAGTAAGCAAAATTTAAAAGTCCCTTCAATCTTCAATTCTCTTCAAGTGGACACTTAAATACTGAGGTATGAGAAACTTGTATCCATTAGTTCAGTAATTCTTCAAGCAATACCAATTATAACACCAGAGGTCTATCAGTGAACAAAATGCAGGGTTGGTGTCTGCATGCACAGAGCTCTCAATCTTGTAGCTAAGCAACATACTGTCTCTCTCTTCTCTAAAATAGAAACATTACTGAATTTTCAAGGTCTGCCTCCATTCCCATATTTCCATAAGCCACTGTACTACTGCACTGTTCTGTGTGCTGTTGGCTTCTTTCTCTGACATTCCATAATTCTTAGAGATAGTGCCATTATCATAAAAGTTGGTCATATGTCATAGGGCGCTGATCTCTACTCTGTTCTCAATAGGATAAAAAAATTCCTCAAAGACAAATATGCTACCTTACTTGGGGTGGGGAGTATTTTTTTCTAGTATCTAGTAACATTGAGAAACGCATTGAATTCCAATAAATCAGGTGAATGTGACTGAAGAACATATTTCTTGGAAGCCTAGTTCTACCCATCCTGAAAAAGATGTCATAATATCTTCTTGCTAAGGCTAACTTGTTGTAATAGTTTGCACCAATGCTAGTGCAAACAAAGTGAGCTGGTGAGAATTTTCTAATTGGAATCTCAAAACACACTTTTCATTTCACTTTTTTTTCCTTTTTTTTTTTTTTTTTTTTTTTTGCAGTACTGGGGATCGAACTCAGGACCTTGGGCTTGAGAGGCAGGCAGCAGATCCACTGAGCTAAATCTCCAGCCCCACACTTGTTATTTTAAAAGTAAATTGTTCATTTTCTAAAGATACTTTACAATTTAAATGTCCCCAAATGACTAAAACAACAATCCAATCAGTTTTCCATTCCAAATAATAGTTTAATTAAGGCTTGGTTATACACAAACTTTGCAAAGGGGAGAATAAAACTGATTGCTTCATGTTGCTATTACTATATTTCTGACTGATTTAAATCTGTGACAAATTAGGCCACAGTTAGGCTATTAAAATAGGGAAGTCATTCTGTGAATCCAATCTGTACATTGACATTTTGAAAGAAGCTTTTTGTAGTTATTTTCAGATTTCTTTAGAAGTACTTTAGAAGTTAATTTATATAATTTATAAAACATTCATTGAACAGGCATCTTGATAAAGTACAACATATCAAAATTAAGTATATTGCTTAAAGAAAATCAAGCTGTAAGGACACTCCAATGAAGAGATGATCATTTATGTTGGTGAAACTAGAAGAGGTTTGTCTTCATAATCTCTAAAGCTTGAAATCATTCTGCTAAAGATTATTTGAATACTTGATCATTTCTAAAAGTTTCTAATTGGTATAAATGTAATTTTAACCATCAGCCTGCAGAATTATTTGAAATTTTTAGAATTGGGAAGGGGCATTTATGACACATATCAGGACATGGTGGAGGACACACAGTTTGAGACTGAAGGAAAACAGGTACAGATAATGGAAGATTCCCTTTAAAAAATTCTTGCTCAGTATGACTTAGAATTTGTTATTCAAATTGTGCTAACTCAGAGCTTTTCATTTTTTGTTTTATAATAGATATTTTTGGAGCCATTTACTTCTTTTAGAAAACAAATCAGCTAATATTTAAGATATAAAAAGACTTCCCAAAACTCTCTGGGAAGAGATGGTGCCTGGGTGTATTCCTACATCTTTGATCATCACAAATCCCCCTCTTTATCAGCTCTCTGGCATAGCTGGCCTAGGCCAATTGGACAACATGTTTATAAAAAACTTACACGATTTGCAAATTCTCATTCTAAAGTTGGCAAAAATGAAGGTAACATACCAAAACACACATAGGAGAAAGAATTTTGATTGTTTTTTGTGCGTTGGCCACCACTAATGATAAAACCTAACTTGGCAAAGGCAAGGCACAAATCTCAGTCTTGCAAACAACAGACCAACGAAGCTAATAAAGAATCATTTGAAATGGTCAATAATTCTACACTGATATGCACAGAGTCTCTTCCTTAATGACAGTGTACCCTCCAATCAGCTAGCTATATAATACTCTTCTTTGCTAGCCATGCAGTTTAAAGACAATTAACTCCATTTCTTATACACAAAAGCCATATTTCTCTTTTTGGGGGGCACAAGGTCTAGCTCACAGTGATATTTTAAGTATGTTTCACTAGCAAATGAACAATCTATATATGAATTTTCTGAGAAATCAACCACACAGTAGGTAACATCCCAGTGGTCTCATTGACCTCATTCTGATCACAGAAACAGATGTTTGTTTAAACCAAAGAGAAGAGTATAGCAAATCCAATTTAGGATATCTCAACTTTTTAGTTGGCTAATCCAGTTGATGAGAATGACATTTCCAAGTCTTAGAGTTTATAGTGATTTATTACAAACAAGGAAAAGTGTAGCAGAAAAATAGGGATAAGGGGGACATCTAAAGACATGTTAGTGTTAATAAAAGTTGATGCCACAGGAGAGAATATGATCTACTTTAACGCTCTATTCTTATAGATGAAAAATTTCCCCCTTGTTTCCCAAATCTTAATGGTTTTTAGTGTAGCTTTTGGTGACCAAAAATTAAATAAAGTTGACTCTGGATGTTGTTTATTTGAATTCTTATCATCATACTAACCTTTCTAACTGCCTGATGTTTTCTTGGAAGACTGGGGATAACAGAGTCTCATGTTCTTTGAATATGAAATATTAACTTCCACTATAGGTAATTTTGAGACATTTAGTGATGGCTATTGGTAATAAAGATGGTCAGTAATGCTGGATACATATTCACACACAGATCAGAACATTGTAAGTTTGGGTTCTGACTGACCTTCAGGTTGATATTGTGCTATAATGGTCACCGTCTGCCCGGCCCCCTTTAATGCAGCTGCTGCCTGTTCATGAGACGCTCCACGGAGGTCAATGCCATTCACCTGAAAGAGAGGAAATCAGAAAAATCTCAGGCACAGAACCTGCATTTTGATAGAGGAAAAGAGCTTCTGAAAACTCGCAGGCTGTCTAAGATTGTGTCACATGTCCTCAAACCCTTTATAATCTACTCATGCGCTTCTTAGCTTAGCAATTTTCATCATACTATATTGATAACTTAAATAGAAGAGACATGAAATTTTATCTTGTAGTGGTTGTGGCATGTGTGACTAAGTTGGAAACATTTTTAACCATCCATGTTTGCCAGCATTTTAATACATGCATTTAATAAGCCCCTGTGCATTTCCGAGATTTCTGGGGTAGATAAGAGTTTTCAAAATTAGAGGGAAAACAGGATAATGAAGAGAGACACATGTAATGTACGTAGACAAGTGCTGACAGATTAATATATTCAGGTGAGGTTCTGGGGAGACTGCACGGAACGGGGCTGGCTCTCTGCTAAATACTGCTCTTTGGTCAAATGCCTAGTCCTATCATACTAGCGTGGTGAGACAGCCCTGAGCCCTGTTCCAAAATAAACCTGACTGTCCCATTTTTTATGCAAAATTCTATAATGAATTCTGACAAAATGAAATAAAGAGTGCTTGGAGTTTATTTTGCCGTTGCAAACTTCCATTATGAGGCCTCTACTGAAAGAGAAACAGACCATCTAAAACACACTCCAGACTGCCAGGATAAAATATCATTTATAAGTCAAATTTAGTAAGAAGCAAAAATAAAATTTTGAGTCAGTTCAGTCTAAGCGTATACAATATAATCAGTAAGTGCTCCATGTGTGTCTCAGAAGGGGGTCAGAAGGGGGCCTAAGAAGCATTTCTGCTTGCAGTAAACACACAGTAGGTCAGATTTTTAACTTACAAAGAACTAGATTTTAACAGATAGTATCATAATTCTGCTTCCTTTTATTTATAGGGCAGGTTTCTATAGCCCATGAAAGAAAACAGAACTGAAAGCTCATCTACATATATAGTAGATCACCTTAATTTGCCTTCTTCGATCCTCCTTGATTGAGACTGAGTGGTAGGTAGGGGTGGGCTTACCACTTTGTTTCTCCTCCAGGCCTGGAACATCAGTAATCTTCTACTCCTTTTTTTTTTTTTTTCTTTGGTACCGGGGATCAAACTCGGGACCCTGCGCTTGGGAGGCAGGTGGCAGAACCACTGAGCTAAATCCCTGGCTCAGAAATCTTCTATTCTTATCCTGGTCCTCTCATAACAATTTCGTTTAAGGGTCGTTATTTGCTTGTATAGTTTTCCTTGCCTCTTCTCTGGCTTTTAATCCCTGTAAACTCTTCCTTGCAAGCATGGATAACACAGTAACACTGGGAAGTCCACTGAGTCAGCCTCACCTGGCTGACCACCCACCAGCTGACTGTCATTTCACCTTTCTGAATCTCAATTTTCTCCCACCTCAGGCGGAAGCGGTAGTTAGGCTATCTGAGGCTAGAGTCTCTCTGAACTCTAAAATTCCAGATGTACTCCATGGTAGAAGACAGTAATTTCAGACTGCCTAGGCTACTCACTGAATTAAAAGTATGACCCTTGTAGACAGAAGAAACAGGAAAGGCAATTTTATCTATACCTTTGCCAATAGGAAGCTAAAGTGTACACCTTCATGTGTCAAATTATTTTCCTCTTGTCAAGCAATTAGGTTAAATTTTGTTTAAAAGTGTTCATGGTAAATAAATTCTGTTTCAAAAATGTATGAAAAGGTAAAAATTCCTTTTCCATTTCCACTTCTGGTGGTAACCATTTTCGTGTATACTCCTTATAAATTCATCGTAAGTATATGCAAACACATGCTCTCATTTCTGTTGCTCTTTCAATATTATTATTTGATTTTTATTAAGGAGTAGATGCCATATATTCAACTTTTTATTGTCATTTAACAATACATATATGGATATCTTTCATACAAGCTCATATCATCCTATAATTTAAGGGGACCTTAATATTCCATGGTGTGAACGTTCAATATGTTTAATGTGATCTTTATTGATGTGATTAGGATAGTTTCCTGTTTTTGTTTACTAGAAACTTTTATGAATGTTTTCTGAAAGGTAAGTTCCCTGGAAATAGACTTCCTAGGTCAAAAGGTATATACATTATTTCTTTTTAATTTGCCACTATGCATTTGAAAATGACAATTAGTTAAATATATTGAAGCTATTAAAGAAAACAAAAAGGGCATAATTTCATTTACCAGATAACATAAACGAGTTTATATGAAAAGCAAAATTGATATACTCATGTAAATGCATATATAAAAAATTAAAGCAGTAAAAAAGCATAAAAATAAAGGCTCCCTACCCATTAGTTGTCTTCAAAAAAGACCATACTGATGACTTCTTGTACATACTGCTCATTATTTTTGTTATGAATATAAACTGGTTTCTAAAATGTAGAATTAAAATTTTTACATGAATAAGATCATATTATTTACAATGTTTTATACCTTGGTTTTTCTATTATATGTCACTGCTTTCTTAAGCAGTGATCACATTCTTTTCAATAGCAGTGGAGTACTTTAGTATTCAATGTACAATTATTTTTCCAGTACATGGCCAATGTCACTTTGCTTCTTCCGTATTTTGCTGTTAATACCAATGCTGTAGTGAATATCATTATCAGTAAGTTGTTTTAATAAAGAAAATGAGAATAAAATTTTGGTAGTCTTTGCTAAGTTATCTCTAAAAAGGCAGAATTAATTTATACTCCCACAAATAATACATGATTTCTTATACTCTTATCGTAATTGCATATACTTTAACATTTAAACTTTTCCATATTGATAAGTAGACAATTGGATTTTAAAATTTTGCATTTCTTCAATTATGAAGTAAAGCATCTTTTTATATGTTCACTGGTTATTTAAACTTTTTATATAAAATATTCTTTTATTTTGCTTATTTTACTTTGTTCTTTTAAACATTTATCTGCATATTTAAAATATCAATACCCCATCTTAGAAACTTTTCCAAATATTGTTCTTGGTTTGTTTTGTATTATTTTATGTTTTATTTTAGCTTTACCCTTGTACATTCTTTTTGGCCATAGAGCATTTAAAAATATTTTTAGAGCCATACTTAGCATTTTTTCTTGTCTTTTAACTTGTTTCTTCTTTCCTTCTTCAATGTATTTAACAAATTTTCCAGTAGTATGACTATAGTTTAATTTTTATCCATTTAATCTTTAATTTACTGGAATGCATTTTGATGTGAGAATCAAATGAATAGCCACTGTCTCTGGAATTCTATCTATCTATTCATCGGTTGATCTCTGTATAATTTATTTATTGAAGACAAAATCTTGCTATGTAATTCAGGTTGGCCTCAAACTTGTAGTGATCCTTCTGTCTCAGCCTCCTGAGTGCTGGGATTACAGACATGAGCTACCACACCTGCCTTGAATCATTTCATTATAGAATAAAATTTTTGTATCTTTCACCCTATACTCTGAATTTTCTCATTTAATGGACTAGGGAAAGTACATTAAAAAATGGGAAGGAAAAAAGATATGGAGTCACAGAGAACTGAGTTTGAATATCAAGATATCAAGTTCATCAGTTATTTCTGGGTAACTTGGGAAAGTCACTTCACTTTTTCAAATCTCAGCATTCTTACCTATAAAATGAGTACATTGCCTACCCATCTACCATAGCTACCATCAGGAATTCAGCAAATAGTATCTTTTTATTTTTTGTACCAGGGACCGAACTAGGGACCTTGTGCTTGCGAGGCAGGTGGTGGTACCACTGAGCTAAATCTCTGGCCAGTATCTATTAATGTTCATATTGTTTTTGAAGAGCAGTGATTACAAGTGATGTTAAAAAATCTAGTGGAAATTAACCAATATAGAATGAGTTATTTCATTTTTTTAAGGAACAAAGAATTTATGCATTAGAAGAGCCTTAGAAATGGGTCTATCTAGCATTTAAAATATGAGAGCTGATCACCATAGGGGAAGGAACTGGTCCAAATCATGTCAGAGTTACCAGCCTAGGTCACCTCTGGCCCAACCAGGGTTATTTCTACTGCAACAGATGTGCCCCAATAAGTGTATTTGCTTCTTTTCCACTGGATCACTAATAACTAAATCTTGTTCAGTTCATGCCTAATCCTACATGGCTATCTGCATTTGTGCAATTTTGTTGCTACTGTTAACCCAGATGATACCTCATTTTGCTTGTTACTGCTGATTTCCCTCTTAGTTTCAGCAAACCTACTCTCTTCCAGGATTCCAAACTTTTCAAAGTCATTTTAATTCTTATTTCTTTCTCTGAGATTTGAGTTATCAGTAAACTTTGCTTAAATAACATTTTCAGAAGTATTCGCAGTTTACATCATTGATATGACATTTTAAAATGCCAAGTATGGCAAGTCTCATATATTTATTTTTTTCTTTTTCTTGTTGCTTTCGTTTGAATTTTCTCTTGTGGATGCATGGATTCTCAAAGTTTTCCGTAAGAAGAATTCTATTCTTGAAACATGAATTCCTGGAGCATAGGTGTCATTAATTATTGGTGAGATTAATAATAATCATTGTAAACATTAATTGATGCTTAGGCATGGATATAGGAGATATTTAAACGTTCAACCCTCAGGAATCTGGGACTAATTTTCTCATTTTATAGATAAGGAAACTGATCTCCAAGTCACTAACTTAAGGTTATACAATGGAAAGAGCCCGAGGATTTAAAACAGTTTCAAATTCCTGAACTCTTAACTATCAATTCCTATTAACCTTCCTTTAATAGCCTGTCTACCTCTGAGAGTCATCACCTACAAGAGTCCAATTCTGAAATTTGTCGTGAGCAGATGACTGGGTTTGGTGAACTGCCTGATTTGTAGCAGTTCAGGACAGCTTGGTTCAGACATTATGGGCCAATTCATAACACTAGATCAGGGAGGGATAAGGGAAAAGGCTTCGAACAGCCTAGAAAATTTCCATCTATTGCTACTCTTGTATGTATATGTTATTAGATCAACAGAAATGCTTAAATTTCATGTTATGACATTCTTTTCACAATCATGTTGGTGTTGAATAGAAATGTGAGTGCTGTTAATTTCAAGTTGATGTAGGTTATTTTTTTAAGGTGCTTACATGAAGATGAATAGTGGCACATGCCCAAGGCCAATCATTTTCTTCTCTTAAGTGAGCATTATGTTTGCTAATTCAGCCACTGGGACCTCTGAAGAAACAACTGTTCTCTGGATATATCTGTCTATTTCTTACCATTATGGAATGGTCAATTTTCAAGTCAAGGAATTTTACCTTCTTTCTTCCTGATGTATAGCTTTAGGCTAGTTTAGCCAGAATATTCTTGTTCCCTACCATGTTGAAACTTTTTTATTTCTCTGATTCAGACATTTCTTTATCTTTCCATGTGCTATTGTATATATGTACCAGATTCTCTTCACTATGCCTCATAAATATGTACAATTAAAACAGTTAATAATGAAAATAATTACAATATATTTTCTCACCTCTTCCCTACCTGTAAAACTTCTAGTCCTTAAAGACTCAGCTTCAACTGATTTGAGGAATGTGTGTACTGTTGAACTCCTTACAAGTAGGAGCTCAGTTTATTAGAACTTGTGTGTCCATGGCATGGTGCCTGGCAAATACTAGGTGCATAATAACCAAAGAGTGAGCAAATAAGAAAATGAATGAGCAATGTACTTTCACTGCATTAGCCCAAGCCAATACTCTAACCACTGTGTAATACTGGCTTCACACTGATGAAGAACTCACTATTTTCTCAGGGAAATTCATTCCATTTGGGGTCAGCTCCAGGGATAAAAAACAGTTCTTTGTGTTAAATCTTCCTGGGAATTTCCACCTTTTTGTTCCAGTTCTGCCCTCTGATGGCTCACACACAACATATTACTGTTTATTCTTTTCTATGATCCTTGTTTCTAATATTTAAAGGTAGTTCTCTCTTTTCCAGGTTAACTAATCCTACCCCACTGGCTTCTCCATCTCTCTATATTTCTTCATACTGAGTGCCCTTTGCTTATGTTTGCATACCTCCAGTGACAGGGAATTCTTGCCTTCCTAATCTGTCCATTCTATTTTCAGATGTCTCTTGGGGGTGTTATTTCTAGCATCTTGATATCATTTAATACCTCATCAGAGACAGCTAAGCACATGTGAGGTCAGGAATAGCAATAAGGATACTCACTGTGTGGCTATTACTCTTTGATGTGTGGCTATTGTAGTACCTGGAGTTAAATACTCTCCCAATAAAACTTTTGGGTTTTCTTTAAAATATCCATTTTAGTTTTCAGTTTATGGAAAGAGTGGTACAAAACTATTGTCAAGCAATTTGTGGTTTAATGGAGGACAATGACAGGTAAACACATAATTTAAGTGTCACAATATATAAGGTCATAATGCCCCGGGACCCAGAGAAGGTGCCCTGACCAGGGTGTGAGGAGGCATGAGAAAGTCTTGTGGAGGACCTGGCATTGAGACAGGGTCTGAATGAATTAGCCAGGTGACTGTGTGTGGCAGTTCCCACAGCAATGGAGACAGGGATAAGCAGAGGAACAGCAAAGAGGGGGCACATATAAGGGTCCGGAGGTGAGAGAGGGCCGAGGATACCTGGAGTAGCAAGTAGCTGATAGGGAAGGAAGGAGTATGGGAAGGAAGCGAGAGAGGAGGCAAAAGAAATAAAGGTGGTGAAGGTGATAATGGTGATAATGGTAGCTCTTATGTACACAGCACTTAATCTGCGCCACACATTCTTCTAAGTATTTTAGGAGTGAAAATTCATTTAACCTCTACAACAGCTCTGTGACATGGGAACACACGAGTCTCCATTTTATAAAAGTGGAAACTAAATAACTTGTTCAAGGTCACGTTGCTAATGCATGGCAAAACCAAGCATTAAACCCAGCCAGTCTGGTTTAGGGGACCACATTCCCAGCCTTGACACAGTGCTGCCTAAGGATCTGGTGGTAGATGGCGTGATAAGCTGTTTCAGTGAATTCTTGGATTAACTTTTACTATGACGAGGAGCCCCTTTTCAGCTTAAAGTTTAGGAAAATTATGTTACCACCCACCACTCCTATGCCCTAGGAGTCCCGATAGGTAGAGAGAATGCAGGAACTGTGTGCGTGTATCCAGCCCTGCTCTGCAACTGGGAGGAGGCTGATCCCTTGGCAGATGCGTCTTGCAAGGCAGCACCAATGCTCGTGGCCGCTGCGGTTTCCTGTCACAGATGACGTCATTTGCCTGCTCTAGAAGGCAGAGCATGGGAAAAACACGAGAAGAACATTGAGTTTAGATTTGGGAAGGCCAGGATTCAAATCTTGGTCCCTGCATTTACTACTTTATGACATTGGGTAAGTTGCTTAATCTCTTTGAATTTTAGATTTCTCATATACACCACAAATCACTAATTTCTATTTTGCTAGGTTGTCAGAATGATTAGAGAAAATGCAAAAAATGGTAGGTACTCAGTAAAGAGTTGCTATTTGTATTATATCCATTATCTAAGAAATCAAAACTTTATTTACTTTTGGTACCGGGGATCAAACTCGGGACGTTGCGGTTGCGAGGCAGGCGGTGGAACCACTGAGTTAAATCCTTGGCTGAAACCAAAACTTTAAAATGGCTTTATCAATAGTAATAAAACCAAAGAATAGATTTGGTAGGACACTCAAGAGTAGTTAAGAACTACAAATTTAACAAATTATTAATTGTGAAAAAATACAAGGAAGGGATACAATGGGAAAGGGCTAGATAATTAGCACTAGATTTCAATTAAAATTAGTGAGGCACAGAACACATGGGACTGTTTCAAGCAGATTATTTCACAGTTGGTGGTCTGGCTGGAATACAGCAAGGGGCAGCAGGGATGGAACTGGGGCAGAATCCAAACTACGAGTATTTCTACTTTATTCAGAAAGACGATGGATAGTAAGATGAACAGATCTATCACAAGTATAGTACCCAAATCTGAAAGGTCCCCATTTTTTCTCAAGAGGGGAAAAAACCAACCTCTTTTCATTTTCCTGAGGTGATGTGATGGAGTGAAGTGGAAATTTGGGTTTCACTGCTAACTGTCGCTAACGCACTAGGGCTTGTCAAATAAAAATGAAGTTTCTGAGCCTTACCATCTCTCGGGGCCCAGAAGTTGTAAATTTAATGATTTACATGGCTTAAAAATAACATCTCAAAAGTGTTTTACAGCTAGTAAAGGGGTTTTGTCACCTCACACTTACTGAACAAGGTGAGACATAAACAAACAAATATAATAAAAACATTCTCAGGCATTTGGTAATCCTTATCACGTATGTGTGAAGAAAGCAGAGGACCTATAAATATCCCATGTGCTTTTGAGTTGTGAGCAGTCTAGGGTGGCTGGAGAGGGGGAAAGAAAATGGGCCACAGCAGAAGTAGCCCTGGAATACCAGGGTAAGGAGCTTAGTCGTAAGAGCAGGAGGGGTTTCACAGAGACACGTAATATTCTTTGACCTATTTTCTTTTGGGGGGGTATTTGAGATCGAACTCGGGACCTTGTGCTTGCAAGGCAGGCACTGGAACCACTGAGCTAAATCCTCGGCCCTGACCTGTGTTTGAAGAATAACCCTGACAACAGCGGAAAACTAGGGTTAAGGAACTAAATAAGAGACCACTGCAATATTACCAATGATACAAGATGAAGGCTTAAAGTAGGAAAACGGGAATGGAATTGAGGTGGGGGATGGGCACAGACTTGAGAGAAGACATACAGAGAGGCTCTGTGTAGATTTTTCTTTCAATACTCTTGGGAACCAACCAGAGTTTAAATAGTATTTATAGTGTTGGACAGATTGGAATTGAGAGACGACAAAAGTGTCAAAAAGTTTTAAGATGATTAGAGATGCAATTATACCATTAATCAAGATGGGAACACAGGATGGGAACTGAGTTTGGATGAAAGGATAATACATTTTATTTCAGACACATTGGGTTTGCTAAGACATACTGATTTTGACATTCCCGGTTTTGCAGGCAGTCAGAAAATGTATCTGGAGTAGTCCATGTTAGTAATTTATCTGAGTTTGTTGGGTTTCTAAGGTCGGAACCCCAGTCAGAAACAGAAGAGAAGAGGCTTGAGGCCCAAATGGGGATACTCTGATTAGCCACTTGGTACATGTTTCATGAAGTTAGATTAGTTAACACAGACATAGCACTTAAACGGCTGCCTCGAGTATAGCAAAGATACATAATTATCAGCTGTTATTAACTCCTCTCTTATCACACAGAAAAATGGATCACCTGCACTTGTTTAAAATTTTTTATATAAAGGATCAGTTGACCAAGAGAAGTGCTAGGGTTGTAGCACTAAGGAAGGAAGCATGGTGCTCTGCCCAGCACCATCCTAGGAATTAGGAGTCCTGAGGAATTAAGTCCCCATTCTGCTGCTAGTTTATTCAACTTTGGGAAGTCTCTATCTCTCTGGGCCTTGACAGTTCCACGCTAAATCTCTGGAGTCTCTTCCAGTGCTTCATAAACAAACGCATTCTATGCTTAGTATGTGCTTTGATGACAACTAGAGAAAAACAAACAGTTCATTTGACATCAAAATTTTTAAACAGCCCCTGGCATGTTTCAGATTGAGTGAACTATAAATTGTATTTGAAGTGGAAATTTCTAATTAAGTTCCCTTCTCCTGGAAGCTGTTGCACTGGGTAGAGAGTGATAACATTCCTGTCAGGAGCTGCCTGGAGGCTCAGAACTAGAATTCTGGAACACAGGCAAAATGAAAAATTGATATTAGATATTTACATATCTGAGCAGTTAAACATTAACATCCCTTTTAAATTTGGCTTGCTGATGCAAAATTGGGCATATGTTTTTTATTTTTTGAAAAAGTTCAAAAATGTGTTGGCTTGCTGGGGTATTTGTAAAGGGCTGATCACTTCAGAGCCTATAATTGAAAATAAAATATAATTTGGCTTCCCCAACCCAGCTCATGATAGGCCAAAAGGCACTAAATAATTTTTAGGATTCATGCATTTTGAACAGCTATCCCTATGAGACTATGTAAGCACAATCGGTCAAAACCTTAATAACTATTTTATAAATAAGAGATCTTATTTACATAAGATTTATAGAATACAAATCTTAACTCTAGATTTGTAATTCCATTTTCTTTCTTGGCATTTTTATTTGGATGTATAAGACTTTTCAAACTCATCAGGATCAAAATCAAACTTAATTTTCTCCTAAACCTATTTCTGGGGAATTTTCTCACTTTCAGCAAATGCTGTAATAGTAGCAACCATCTTCCATTCAAGTCACTCAGCCATAAGCCCCCAACTCGTCTCCCTGCCTCCCGCCTCCCTGTGTAAATCGCCAGCTCGTTTGCTCACTCTAGCTCCAAAATTGATTTCAATTCTATCTACTCTTCTCCAACTCCACCCTGCTCCTCTAGGCAACCCCTCATTTCTCCCAAGGATAGGCAGTAGCTACTTGATTAGTTTTCTTTTTCTCACTCTGGCTGCCCGACTTTTCTGTATCCATTGTCCACTCAGCAACCAGAATGATCTTCTCAAAACGTGTATCAGAGCATGTGTTTTCTCTGCCAGAATCTCTCCAGGGGCTTCTTGTTATACTTTGAATAAAACTGGTGCTCACCCAGATATCTGCCTATCCCTGTGATTCCATCTCATACCACCCTGTGCCTGCTTCCCTCTTCTCGACAACGGCCTTCGCTCTGTCTTATCCCCCTTCAAGCACCTGCCAGCCCTAGGGCCTCCCTTCCAGTGGACCCTTTGAAAGCTCTTCCCTGGCCTTTCTCATTTTGATCCCTTATTTTCACCTCTCAGATTACATGCCAATTCCTTAGCATTTTGCTTGCTGCCCCATTTAGAGTAGCCTCCCAGCCTGTCCTTAACATACTTTTAAAAAATTTCTTACAGAATTTAGGCCCATTTTTAAATTTTCTTTACCTCACCCCCCCAAAAAGCTTTCTGTAAGGACTTTGTCTCTTTTTCCCCTGTACCTTCTGGGCTTAGACTGCTACAGAAATATTCGGTAATATTCCTCAAATTAATGAATGATTATAACTCTTAGGTCACATCACTTTATTTAAATTTTTAAAATTTATTGGTTATTGTACATCTATTGTGAGCCAAGTGCTGATCAGAAACCTTTTCAGAAGGACCCTGTCACCTAGGGGGAGAATAGTTGATTAACTATACTCACTGAAACTCAGTCTTTGAAGGTGGACATCACTGGTCAATCAGTTGTGGACTATCTCCTGGTGATATCACTCCTTGTTTTCCTGTTCTCTCACCAGCTCTTCAGGCTGCATTTGATCTCAGCCTTCAATTTTCTCAGGACTTTCCTAGTTAACAAACTGGCCCTCTGGAGCAATATCACCAATTAGGACTTGGCAGATGGCTCAGGAAACTCCTTTTAAGATAGGTATACTTGGATGGGAATACGTGATGTGAAACAGCATATAACTCATGGCAAGACTCTCTGTCCTCACTCCAGGGCTTTGAAATATTTTGCTTTATGCAAGAATTTCTGTAAATACTAGCGTCTCTGAAGGTTGTGAGCCTACAGGTTTCATATGGAGTTATCCTTGAAGACACCACCCCATACCTTAATGCCCTAGAAAACACTGTTAGTAAGGAATTACCACCTCCACATAACTAAAACTACTCAGGCAAAGGGTCAAACGGTGGGCTGGGAGGCTAAATTCTTCTCTCAAAAATCTCCTTTGTGGGCTTTCATCTCATCCTCCAAAGATTCCTCCTGAGATGAAATGTGCATGTGTTTCCAGGCTGACAGAACCTCCAAAGTCAGCCAGTTTGAAGCAGAAACCTTTTCCTTGATGGATGATGGTAATAACAGCAACTTTCTGAATTTGGTTAATGGGCTCTCCATTCAAAAATCAGTGGAAAAACTGCAAGGGCACTGTTCTTTTAAACTTAGTTTTTCTGTGGTTTATGATATTAAAATAGTTCTAAATTAATCTCTTAAAACACTATCACCATGAAATCAATTATGAAGCATCATGCAATAGAATACTATAGAGCTTTATAGCTATTAAAGACAAGAGTATGTGTATCTAATATTCTTGAACTCAAAAATACGTATGATATATTGCTCGGCCAAAGAAAAGCAAG